GGTGGGGTATAGGAAATGGTAAGCTTGCCTCAAGTTAAAATATCAAAGTACTTTCGCAGAAGTTACTATCTTGTGCTGAAATATGAGGACACTTCTGAAGATGAGTAGAATGTGCTGATTGCTGAATGGTAGTTAAATTCTCTTTAAGCTTTGTATAATTGATCCTGAAAGTTTCTCTTCACCATTTATCAAAAGTATTGTTGTTTCAATAATTGGGAATAGTTATATGAACCGCTGAAATCCCAATTTTCGTCCATATTGCCACCAGCAATTTGTGGGTTTTAACTGCTAGTGCAAATATAGGTTGTAGAAAATCCTGTGTTATTGTGCTGTAGTAGCATTTTTCTCTGTTTACCTATATTTTGTGTTGTAAAAATACTATAAATATGGATAATCTCCATTTTGTCCTTAAAGGGCACACGTATGAAAATTGACATGGCATTTTCACTGGTCTCTGAATGTGCAGTCACTAGGGTCAAAGCCTCTTGTGTTTGGCAAAGGTTCTCTAAGGAGGCAGTTAGCTAGAGATCTTCTTACTGGTGAACATCGTGTCCTACAATCTGCTTCTGCATGGCTGAAAAATTATTGTGTGACTCTATCAAGTGACTGAAAGCTTTTAGTTTTACGACCAACAATGGCTGGCAGATGTGCATATAGATGGAGGTAAAAGTCCTCAAGTTTTTTGTAGTTTTTACCTTGCAAACACGTGCTTCTTTCTATTGATTCATATTGTGTTATACGAACTTGTATAATGCTAGCAGTATTAACCAGGACTTCATTCAGGTGTCATGTCCACAAGGTACTTTCTCAAACAACTTGAAAATAGTTGGAGTTTTGCCTTGACATTGAATTTCATCGAGTTTGGCATCCAGGAGTAGAGCATGTTGCCTTATTATAGTAAAACATTGATGATTGGAGTCCTTATTCCAAATGCTAATTTGAGAGAGCTCATGCACTTGTATCCTGCGTGGGATCATATATATTGAAATCCGTTGTTTGCATGTCGTTTTGATCATTTACCGAACTCATTTTTCAGGTAGTTCCCAAAATTTTGACTGGAGAAATAAGAAAGAATAAATGATAGCAGGAGGAAGGCTAATTGATTCAATGTGCATTGTCTTCAGCATACTACTGTAATAAAGTTGATCTGGGACGCCCCATGATAAAGGATTCTTGTGCTTCCCCTCACCAATTTCACAGTTATTTGAATTCAAATATTGGCAGAAATTAATTCTCAAACCTGTCTGGTAGGAAGATTAATAGCGTCGGACACAATATCAAAAAATAGAATAAGTTAAATTTTTATTTATTATATTGTTCGTCTTACCAAACATTTGTTGTTCAAGTTGTGCTTACAAAATTTTAAACACGCAAGCCATATATTCTATTCCCTTATGTGGCAAAGGTCAATTTTAATTCATCGTGGAACTAGGTATGGAGTTGTTGTTTCTACCTCTCATTTTTGTCAATTTTGTTTTTTATTATATAAAGTTGTCAAGTCATCCAAAATGCTTATGAACTTGGGAGTAATTTATTATTCCAGGTATCAAAGTTCATTATATGACGTAGCATGAGAAAAGTTGGCATGTACATATAAAATTGTTAGCTTATATATTCAATATCTATTTGGGTAAAATGCGCCTTTTCCATTTGGAAACGTTTCTTTTGGTGTAACTTTGGTACATAAAATTGTTGGCTTATATAATTGATATCTATTTGGGTAAAAAGGGCCTTTCCATTTAGAAACGTGTCTTTTGGTGTAACTTTGGCATATAAAATTGTTAGCTTATATAATTGATACCTATTCTTTTGGTGTAACCAAACAAGAACAATCCTTTAAAATTAGTCGTGATCACTACCAAAAGGTCTAGACAAAGAAAGTCTAAACTTCGATAGAAATCTTGATTCGAATAACAAAAAATCATAAATCCCTCTAATTTTTGAACAACATAATGCAATATGATCGAAATAGAATGCACTTAAACTCCACAAAGTTGTTACTTTCACTTTCTCAAGATAAATGTCCATGAGATTAAAGCTAATATAAATTCATATTAAAAAGCTTAATTGAAAACTCAAAACAATAGACCCGGCATGGTCCCCAATAAGATTTTCATGAGCCTCGTTACTGCAACGAGATGAAGAAGATCAAGTCGCTATAATTCTGACTTGAGAAGTAAATATGGGAGAAAAAGGAACTTCGTACATTGGATAAAGTAATATGGCATTGATAGGCCAAGCATTACAAAGAGTAGTAATTTTTATATCAGTTAAAGACAAATGTAAGCATCAACATATCTGGACAAACGTCTAAATTTCAACAAATTTGTGGTTTCTAGTTGTCCAAGAGGGATTTCAAGCCCTTCGATAAAGCAGATGACGATGTTAAAGAAGCCTTATGTAAGGCTAGTGCCTGTACACTAGTCATGAAAAAATCAAATTCTCATACAAAGTGTAGTAATCACATTCGAGATGAAAGATTGGTGGGCAGGTTAATTTACCTCATGTTGGCCGATAGTTTCCAATCTCACTTCAATATCATCAACAGGTACGATCAGTTCTTTAAGGAAAGAAATACAAGATGCAGAAGATGAAGGCGTCACTACCAAGTTATCTGACACCACAAATAATTGATTTTCCATCAAAAATTTACCAAAGCACTCCGTACTGGGTTTTGAGTTGAAGATCGTCCTCACATTCTATAGATCTAATTTTTAATAACTGAGCCTTACACTTGTACCGCTCAAGAAAACCAACATCTGTTATAACTTTGTTCTTTAAATAAAGAAACATCTGATACATAGACTTCACATTTTTATACAAGATGTCAATGCATCCCTATCCAGAGTCCCACCCAAGAAGTTTTATCAAGAAGTTTTTTTTTTCTTTTTTTTTTTGCTCGGTAGTAATTCGAAACCTACATAGTACACATCAGAATATTAAGGTAAATTCGATAAATGAATAAATGCCTGTTTGGCATGGCTATTTAGAAGCCAAATTGTGCATTTGAGACCCATTTGGTCAACTTTATAAAATTGCTTCTTCTGGCTTCTTCTAAAAGATCTTTCAGGAGAGAGAATTCTTTTATTAATTAATTTTTAAATACTAACTAAGGTAGGAAGCTCTTCTGCAAGAAGTTGACGTGCTATAAGTAATATGGGATTGAATATGACCTCCTCTGAGCCAACATTGACTGTTATCTCTACAACCCGGTGGACATTATTGTAACCCAAATCTTGAATCAATGGCACGAGAGAGCTAGGGAGTCCTCGTTGTAAGTGTTATGCCCTAGATCCAATCGATTTAGGTTGTAAACGCTTTTAATATATTTAATGCATTTGATTTTGGCGAGATTTATTATTTATTTAAATTAATTTTGTAATAAATAATATTAAATAATAGAATCCGAAGATTCAATTTTTAGATAATCTGTTAATAACAAGGAGTTGTAATTGTGAGATACAAATTACATATAATTGGATCTTGAATAAACCATGGTTATAAGTAATAACGAGATACGGATATCGTTAATATAGTTAGACTATCACGTGTGGCATTTCTTACTTGTGAAGTAAGTAGCTGATCTCACGAGCTAAAGTGTGGTGACACTTAAATGAACAGGTGGATGTTTTGTTATAGAACAAAACACTGGAGACCCGCTAAGAGATTCCACATGGATAACTATCTGAGTGTCAGTGGCTAATCTCCAACGTTCGGTAGTAGAATTGGTCCTTTGACTTGAGGTCGTCATAGTACCTTATACGAGGACGGTCATATTTTGGCGGTGTTGGATGTTGCTCTAAAAGGGGCCGCTAATACGACATCGTTCGGGTACGTCAAGAATCGTATGAAGGTTATGATTGATCAATAAAGGATTCGTCACTCTTAGATAGCAGGAGATTATGATCTGCGTTTCATTCAATTAAGTCGATGATGAAATCCTTGGCTAAAGTGTACTCATAAGTCGAAAAGGAGTTTTCGATTTATATTGACTTAATAATGGAATGAAAAATATGATCAATGATCGAGATTGACACGATTTCATATCTCGTAATTGATCGGATCGTATTGACGAAGGGATAATAATTTCACGGTAAACGAACGAATTTGATTTTGTCATACCACGTGACATTTCCCGTCACATGTATTGCCCTGACACATTGCTAGATGTCAATCAGGGACGGCGAGTGTGAATTGACGATAAATTAAAATAGTGTATTAATTTATCAATTTTGATTAGATCAAAATAATATTTCACGACGTTAGGCATCGTGGTCGGGAACCTAATGTCGCACACAAAAGAGAATTGGAAGATTGTAAATTGTCAATTGGTTAATTTAACAATCGTTGGATAAATTAATTAATTGAATTTGTTATTTATAATCCCGAATTAATTAATTGGATTAATTAATTCACGGACTGGGTTTAATTAATTGGATTAATTAAATATTGGACCGGACCTGGCCGAGTTCGTTTGGGTTTATATATATACACAGCTAGGGTTTGAGGTCCATAAGGTTTTCATTATTCTTGCTGGCACAAGAGAGAAACCCTAGCCGTTGCAGTCTATTCTCTGTGTGGATTACATTGGAGGCTGGACAATTGTATAGCTGTGGGAGGCAGATTCAAGCTGCTGGAAAGGAATAACGCGAAGGAGTTTGCAAATTACAAGAAAAGGTATATTTCTTATCACAATTTTTATCTAAATACAAAGTTGAATCCTGAATGGGAATTGAAACTTGTTAAATTTCGCTATGCATGTTTAAGTAAATTCCCAACACTCGTAGCACCTGTAAATCATATGTAATGACAAACATCATATCTCTACTAATGAAAGTTCCTGCCAAAAACCTTCAAAACCTGATAAGTCTTTGCAACATCTCGCGTTAGGACAATAACTCCACTTCATGCAATCGGGACATGAGTAAAAATTTCGGTTGCTCGAATCATCAATATTGAGTTTAAGATACCTGAAGGTATCAGGATGAGGATTTATTGGGTTCAAACTGATTGTCTTGCACTCTTGCTTCTGTAGAGAATTTGTCTGTACCAAGATGTTGAATGCTTTGGTACAAGTTATTCATGCACCCGATGGTGCCTAAATTGTTGTTGGAGACTCAAATGATTGTTCCCAATCGGAGTCTGAGGAAACTAAGTAAAACGTCGACAAAATCACAGGTGGCTTTGGCAGCAAGTACTCGAGCTTTCTTCTCATCTAGCAACAGTTTGAAGGGAATTGTGGGTTCAAAGATGTCCTTATCAGCTGCCGTTAGTTGTTTGTCAAGGTACAAAATGAACTTGATTCCAGGCTGAAACTAAAAAAAGCATAAGATGACACCTTTAAACTTCCACAGATTCTCAAAAACATGGACATTCTTGATTTTGAACTTCTAAAATTCTTGAAATCCCTCTAAAAATTTCAATTTATTGACAGACTATGCATTGCAAACTAGTAGAAATATGCTTCCCAATAACAATTACTTGTGTGGGAGATTTTGTCCCCATTAAATTGATGGGTTATTCAATTTCTCTTCCTTGTTTTTATATAGTGGATATTACACTAAAGCAGGTACTTAAAGATGACAATTTTAAAATCAGGTATAAAGTTTTCTTGATCATAAATCGGGCTTTTAATCAAAATTAATATTACTTCACTCATCTGTCTATCTCTCCCTCTATCCCAATTTAATTCGATGGCATCTCTCTACCCTATACTCAGCAACGTCATCTTTTGGACTTTCACTGGTCTTTCCCCAGCAGAATAGTTTTATTGAAGCACAGTGGAGCAGTCAATTGGTTGAGAGAAAGTCTGAATGCTTGAACAAAAATTTTCAGAATATGTCTCAGAAATTGGATCAATTGGCTGGCTAATTGGGTCAATTGATGGATTATCCACATTATTATGGACCTCAATTGGATGTTGTAGGGCAGAATTCATCATTTAAATGCATTTAGTCCATTAATTGATTGATTGTGTGTCTTTATAGAAACCGTTCGTGACTAGGATATTATTTGATTCTGGGCATCGACGTATGGGATCAATTTGATTAATCAAGACCATAAAATCGGTCGCCCTGGCAAGGAGAATCACAAAGTGGTGGTTTGTGAACGTGGGTGTCACCAGAGCAGCAGGAATTTGGATGTAGGTTGTGCGTTGCATACTATTTTGAAGCTAGTTTTGTTCTAATTTGGTTGTTGTTTGGGATGATGTTTGTAACCAATTTGTACATGTTGAAGAGGGGAGTTCATTGTTGGTGGAATCCAGCGGCCATGGTGGCCGGAAGTTGGTGTTTTGTAATAAATTTGTAGAGATTGAAGAGGAGAGTTTTGGCATTGGTGATTTAATTGGTTGTTTTGGTTGTTAGTAGAGATGGTAGTAGTGCAACAGTGGTGGAATGTTGTAGTGGATCAATGTTGACAGGTGATGATGGTGGCGATGTATAGGTTACAATTGATTGAGTTTCTGTGATCAAATTTCTTGAATATGTAGCTTGTGAAAATGCACGTATCACATGTCAAAGTACATAGATTACATGTTACAGTTTCAAGCAATTTGATTATAGACCACTGGATCTAGTCACAGGTTACAGATCAAAGAGATTTGTTTACTTGCCATGGGATCAGGCCACGATCACATGTATTAGGGCATATGTCAAAGTCCATGGTCATATGTCACAGATTCAAGAGATTTGATTACAAATCCAAGAGATTTGTTCACGAGCCATTAAATTGGGTTATGAGTCACATGTCAAATGCAAAGGTCACAAAACACAGATACAAGAGATTCGAACACAGACCATTGGCTCAGATCACATGTTACGGATTCAAAAAATTTGGTCACAGACTATTGGATCAAGTCATAGATCATATGCCAAAGTGCATAGGTCACATGTCACAAATTTAAGAATTAGTTCTCATGCCATTGATTTCTCCTACCTCAGTTATCCGAACTGGTTACAAATTTAATTAACCAGATTTCGACAATGAGAATTGAAGTTATTCAGTCCGGTAAGTACTATGTAAATTACATCAATTGATGTTCTCCAACGGCCGCTATATTTTTCTCTTGATTTCTACCATCTGAGCCAAAGATGCTCATGTTCCCATTGAAAAATTCATCGATGAGGTAGATATCGGTAGGTAGATGCCGACGACTAGTGCACGAGGGTGGGATGTGGGTGGGTAGATTAATTTAATTTGATATTATTATTATTTAGAATTAAATAGAATTAACACCCGAGTTTTGCATTTTTTAACTTAATGTCTAAAAATTGATTTGGTATATATTTAAGACCTAACTTATAATTTCTTTCCCTTTTATACAACATATAATATCATATGATTGAGGGTGTCAATAGGCTTGTATTGCCATTTTTTTAGGCTAGCCCAGGCCTTGTATTTAGAATAATGCTATTATATGTATATAGGGAGTTACATATAGTTTTATAGATTGATGACGTGTTAAAAATAAAGTAGATTTTCTTTTTAGATTAAGATATTTTGATTCAATCATATCTCGTCACATCATATGTTTACAAATCAATTTGTAAGTGGTAATGTACATATAACACAACCTTTGTATTTATAGGGTCAGATGGGATCGACCTGCCAAATCCACGGGGTTAAATAAGCTGCCTACAAATTTGAAATTTGAAATTCTCTCTCTCTCAAAATTCTGTTTTAAATAAAATTTGGGTTGTAATTTTAAAATTGTCATTAATTTTATTTCCTCTTACATATTTGGTCATTTTGTTAACGATGTTAATGTAAAAAGTCGACGTGCAGCATTAAAATTCATTGTGGCAAATACTTAACAAAATTGCAACCTGGATAAAATCATCTCTTCAAGACAAATCGTCCAACCTAAATAACCCTTTTTTTTCATTCAAGCCCCTACTTTAGCGTTCAAATCAGTTTATTTA